AGTAATTTAGAAATTTATTTTTTAGTATTACGGATAGCGCCCTCTAGTATAGGAGGGGGGGTAATATTATGGTAGTAAGTATTAGAGCCCTGTGGGCCCTATAGCTTAGCCTTAGGCTACGAGGCTAAGCTCTTAGTAGTTACGTAACGAGCTAGACCGCTAGGCCTAAAGGGCTAGCTCGCTAACTTTTACTTATTATTTTATTTTTTCCCTTTTTACGTTAAGTTTTTAGTTAATTAGGCTAATATAGTAGCGTTCCGACTTATTTTAAGTTTCCTTTTATAATACTCCTAAGCTTTTTAAATATTTTTAATATTAGCGAACTTAGTATTTAAGTTTATTAAAATACTCTTTTTTTTTTTAAGTATTATATACTAAACTTTTATTTTTAGAATTCGAACTTAGTACTAAGTTATAGCTAATTAATAAGTTTACTTATTAAAAGCTTTTTTTATTTTTTTAAATAGTAGTTATTAAGTATTCTTATTTAAACTAAGCTCTATAAATAGCTTTAAGTACTTATAGAGCTCTCTAGCCTTCCTAAGAGTTAACTAGTTAATAACTAATATCATAGAGGCCTAGTTAACGTCTTTTTTAATATTAATAGTTAATTAGTTAGTAATTATAGTCTAGTTTAATAGCATAACTAAGCTAGGTAATATTATTAAATTAGTTAATAATTTATTTATATTAAGTAGTTATAGCCTAGTTATTTTTTAATTATTACGTATATTATTCCTCGTTAAATTAACTAAACGAGTAATATCGTAATAAGTTAAAAAGAAGCGCTTTTTAATAATAATAAAATTATTTACTATTTCGTATTTACTAAGCTCCTTTTTATAAATAAACTTAATAGGACTAAATAATATTATATTTAGTAACTAGAGAATATAAGAAGTATATAGTAATAAGAATAATAAGTAAATATTATTAATATAGTACTTTTATATAAATTTAGTTATTGTATAACTCCTATATCTATTTAGAACTAATAGTTAAAGTTCTTTTTATAAGTTAACCCCCCTCGTTATAAAAGTATTAGTCTAAGGTAAGAAAACCTTTTTTAACTAGTTAAGGGCAATCTTATTAATAATTTAGCTATTATTTATTATTATAAACTCTTAATTATAATATAAATAAAATTTAAAAGGGAACTATTATTATTATATTATTTTCTTTTTATATATAATTAATAATTTAATAGCTCTATTATTAACTAAGATATACTTAATAATAAAGACCTAGGTACGTAATCTAAGCTCTTTTTTTTATATCACTCTAGTTTTTATTATACTTAAAACTAAGCTATTAAATCCCTTATTCTCGAGGATATTAGTTTTATCTATATTATACTTATTAGCCTATTTAATATCCTTAATTTTTAATATATTAAATAATCGAAACTAAGGCTTAATAATTTTAGTAATTATTTTATTAATACGTTTAGAATTAATAGTACGACTTTTCTAAACTTTAATTAATAAGTTTTTTTTAAAAAAAGTATCTATCTATCTCTTATTAATAGGATTAGTATCCCCCTAAGTATATAGAACTTATTTAATAAATTCCTTAATTTATTTATATATTAATATAATATTTAGATTATACTAAATACGAACCTATTTAGCTAGCTTATTTTCTTATTAAAAAAGAAGTTTTTAAAGCTTAATAAAAGCCCTCGCTCAATTTTAATAACCCTTTATATAATTATAAAATATTAATTTTAAAATCCTATAATTAATCGAGGCTTTATAAAATAAGAGACCGTTTTTAATAGTATTAAGAGCCTAAATAATCTTATTTTTAGTATATAAAACTATAATATATTAATAAGTAATTATAAAAAAAAGAATTATATTTAGACGATTTTTATAATTATTATAGTAGTTTATATATTATAGGTTAGATTATAATAAGGTAGTTAGGAAGAAATTGAGGGGGGGCTAAATATAGGGGGGGGCTAAAAGGGGGTGGGGCGACTTACTTAGGATGAAGCTTAGACCCAGGTCGTAATCAGCAACTACCTTGTACGTTATCGGTCGCCGAAGGGGATCTCTCATTCGTCTAAAGACATCATGAAATTGGGACTGGATACTCCAGAAGCACCCGAAACCTATTCGTTGAACAATTGAGTGGAATGAAGAAGTTCAGGGTTGTCCGGCCATTGTTCGGTTCTACGACGTTTGTGGTGGCTGAACCGGATCAGGGAAGCTAAGAATGATCGGGGGTAATGTTTAAGTGGAACTATCTCACATGCAACCTGCTGACGTGCCGGGGTTAGGACGCCTCAATGAGACCGCTCGGCAGGAGATAAGATGAATGGGCTGATGAGACCAATTATACGCTTGGGCAGGTGAATTTAGCTCACTAGTAATCATCAAACGCCACTGCGCCGGGACGTGGATGGTAATCATAGCACACTTTGATAGCCTGAATAATCCTCAGAGAAACTTTTCCCCAGTCCCTGTACTATTGTATTGGGAAAGGTAAGCTGGAGTAAGTGAGCTACAATTTCTCCTGAATGACTGATTCAACTCAGAGTATTAGCATCAAACAGTGCAGGAAATGCACGCAAGACAGGCATTCCGAACCCATTGCCAAGTACCTATTGAAGGTTCAACTTTGCCAGAGGATCATTCCTCTCACATCAGTAGACAAGCTGGCCTATCGAGACTTCGGTTATCCTGCTGAGTCGACCGCGCCTGTGCTGGCACGCCGTAACGGAAGTTGGATCTGAACAGGAGGACGGCAAACTCGGAGGATCGACGCTATAAAAGCACCGCTCAAGTTCTCTGAGACCACATAAGACATAATGAGATGCTCAAGAACTAAACCAAAAAGAAAGACTCTACCTTCGAGAGCATGATGGCGAGATATCTAATCTTTTCTATCGTCACCGCAGCCTGCGCTAGCAGCGTCGACCTTTTCTCAGGAGCCACTGATGGCGGCCTGATTTCTTTGAAGCTATCTCACGAGGACGGTCGCTGCAAATTGGAGCAAATCTACGTTTCAAACTCTTGCGTCGCGGCCTACAATCAGTATGAGTAGACCTTAGCAGGCCTCATAATGTTCTTTATTATCTAAACGGAACTGGCGTGGTTAATACTTTCAACGTGGAGCAAGACGGAGAATTAATGCCCATCGTGAGCCGAAACACAACTATCGGCCCCGTCAGCAGCACGTTCTATAACAGCTGTGAGAATAGAGAAATAGTCGCTGCTCACTTGTAGGCCACTGATGAAGTACTTGACTTTCTTACTTGAGGCACTAATGCTGCCGTACGCTTTACAGGCTTGAAGCTCTGTTGCGACATGGAACGCACCCTTCAACGGCTAAATCAGCTAGCTCCAGACGTTTGTGTACTCATCGCCTAAAAGACCAAAGCCGGAGCAGAGCGTCTCGCACCCTCATGATGCAATTCTAGACCCGACTAGGGAGTGAATCGCTGTGTTTGATCTTGGTTCTGACCTTCTTCAATTTTGCTCTTTCGACAAAGTCATAGATCTCTTGACCGAGATTAGTAGACAATATACCGTGTCCTTGGGGTTCAGGTCCACGTCAGGGCGTGTTCTGGGCACCGAATGCGAATTTTACCCGAGGAGACTCTCTGCATCTAAATGTTCTAGCAGAGCTCGACAGCACCATCACATCATTCCATTTCACATATCCACTTTGTACAGGCGTCATTGCTTTTGAGCAGACTGTCATCATCAGCTCGTACAGCTCCCCGCCAGCAGCCTCCAAGGGAATCGTGGCGGAGATCGAGTTTTTTGTAATCAAATCCGGTTTCTAAGTCATAACATGACATGAACCCATCCAACTAACAAGGGAGTTTATGGCTTGATAACAGATTTATCATTGCCTCCGATCGCGATTATTCGTCTTTCAAGATACCCAATTTCAACTCGAACAATAAGATGCAGGAGCCTTCGGACCCTCTCGCCATTTTCAAGCCAATGGCAGATGGCGCCTTGTCTTTTGTACAATTAGCACCTGCGGGGGGCAAATGGCCTGGACATTTCAAGATCAATAAGAGGGGGGATCTGGTCGCTGTAAGCTTGCAGACCTCAACTCGAATGGCGGTCATGCAGAGGGATATAGACAGTGGAAATCTCCAGTCTATCGTTGCTCATATCGTTAATATAGGTGAAGTTGTCACTGCTGTTTGAGACGAGTAGCTGGAACAAGCCATTTCGGAAACGAAGACAGCGATACTGAGGTTTTTGGCCTCTATCATCGAGAGTCTCGTAATCTTGATCAGAGTCAAACAAGTCCTTAAACTCCGTGGCAAGTCTCGATATCTGTGTCAACTGCAATTTGGGTCAATTTACCTGATGTCTCGTATGATGGGTGGACATCTTCACCAGAGATGCAACCCCGCTCGATGAAAGTTGCCGATGAGAAGCCATACTCACTGAACGGCACAATGGATGGATGTTTGTTGAGTCCCCTTAAGCATTTGGGGCTTTCAAAAGTTGGGTAATCGGAAAACCCCTCTTGCAGAGAAATACCGAAGCTATACTCGATTCATCCGCGCAGAGGCAGAATAAAAGCTCATAACGACGGCATGATGATGGCAGTATCTTGGTGATCGTGTTGGTTCTGTTCATGGTGTTGGATGCGAGCTGGACGCGAGGTCGCTTCGCAAGGGTCCATAAATCTCCAACAACAATTGGTTGCTAGCATTTGTTGCTGCATGGGCGATACTTCCCCTGCTGTTTGTTGAACTCTTATTCGTTCTTCCTCAAGGGGGATTATCCTCATGCAGAAGCAACGCCCGTTAAAATGAATCCACGGCCGCAGAGCAGGGGGGCTCAATGGCCCACAGCATTGGTAGCGACACTCACGTGCACTTGAACATCAGTGGCATCCTGTCATCCAACAGAGTTCATTCTCCGGAAAAGTCATCCGCAGCCGCCCGTTGGAAACCCGCGACAAAAGTTATTGCTCGCACAAGTCACTACGATATGTACTCCCGTCCACCGTCCTGTCGCACGATGGGTGTCGATTCTGCCATCGACGTAGACGCAGCACTAGAGCCCATACCGCCCAATAATGTGCCTGATAGCGAGGTCATTATCGAGGCTGACAATCAGGTACGCATACTGCATCATCGCTGGCCCCAGGTAAACAAGAGGATATTCTAATGACAATAGAACGAGGATGAAAGAGAAGAATCGGTAAGGCCTGATAATTTAGTGGACACAATAAAAGCTAGGAGTTGTCTGGCCGTGAAGAGCACGAGGCTGACCTTCGACCAGGGAAGTGTAGCTTCGTCGAGTATGAGTGCCACAAGCTCAATTTTCGGATTTCGTATCGAAAATGGAAGAACCTATCATAAGTACAAAGATGGCAGTGAGTCTTTCAACCCTCACAATTACGACTTACTTAAACTTCATGTACCCTACACGACGACTCCTCGAGACATGGATATGCTGACGTACCACGGTAGAATACAATTTGCCCAATGATGAAAGAGAGACGGAAAGATTGGGTCAGTTCTCACTCAGCAGACCTATTGATCATTCTAATTATAAGAGCAGACTTGCAGCACACTTTGTTTCGACTTACGTTTGGCGATAGACTTGGTACCGCCCCACCAAGTGATCCAGGGAGTAACGTCGGCAGAGTTTTGGATGTAGGCACAGGGAGTGGGATATGGGCTATTGACTATGGTGATGAACATCCTCAATCTGAGGTCAGAGATTTCATGAATGTACGTGAGATAGAATTCGAAACACTGACTGACAGCACAGGTTCGAGGCATCGATCTCTCAGCTGCACAACCAACTTTGTACGCAGTCTGACCACAAATCCCTTTGATAGGGCAACCGGCATACTTACTACTTGCTTAGTACGCCAAAAAATGTGAAATTTCTTATCGACGACCTCGAAGAGCCGTGGACCTACTCACGACCTTTCGACTACATACATAGCCGAATGATGAACTCCTCGATCAGGGACTGGCGAGAATACATAAGAAACTGCTATGAGTGAGTCTCTTGATTTGATAGAGTCTGTGATATCATACAGTAACTCATCAACATAAACGCACAGCAACCTCAATCCCGGTGGATATCTGGAGTTAAATGAGATTGATGTCAAGCCACTCTCTGATGACGGCACCTTGAAACCGGAGCATTCCATCTCTCGAACCGTCGAGATGCTCCAAGAGGCTTCAGAGCTATTTGGACGCCCGTACCAAGATCCCAGGGCATTGAAATCGGTTCTCATGGAGACGGGTTTCACTGGTGTGACGATGCAACACTTCAAGTGGCCCACCAACTCTTGGCCGAAGGAACCCCGACACAAAGAGCTTGGGGTTTGGAATAACGAGAATCTCACACAGGGATGGGAGGCGATTTGTATGGCGCCGCTCACGAGGGCGCTTCGTTGGACCAAGAACGAGGTCTTGGTATTAATGGCCGAGAACCGCAGAGACTTCTGCGACCGAAACATTCATGCGTACTTTTCTATGTAGGTTATCATGACCCTAGGCCGTCCTTCAACTTGGAGATTCCGACGTCATCATCCTAGCTAACATTCCTTTTCTAGATGGTCGATTTATGGACGAAAGCCAATAGACACAGACATGGGTGGCACCGAGGAAAGTAACGAGTAAGGTCACGAGGTGAGGTATGAGGATAACAGTGAGAGTAGGTGACGTGAACAGCAGATGCGCCTCACGAGAGGGATCCGAGCTAACCCTTGAGACCGCGCCGGCTGAGAAAATCGAACGAGGAACACAGACAGGTTCAACCCACTATAGCAAGTCAGATACCCATTAATCTCCACAATTTCTGTTTTCCGGCACGATTTATACTGTGCTCATGTTCGGTGCTCATGCCCTCATAGAGAAATGCAATGTCACTCTCGATAAGATCACTGATTGGCAATGAGATCCAAGAAATGTCGAGGTTGTTGAGGGCTCGGGCATATGCTCGGAGCCTTCTCGGACGGCAGCGGCATAACGAAAGCTAGAACCTACAGATCTGGGTTGAATGGCCCTTCTGCCCTTGTATTAAATCAAAAGCTTGCCTTGTTGTTTAGTCCAGTCGGATTGAATCCCTGTTTCCGTGCATCAGTGTTGATTCTGATTTAGGCTTTCGGTCAATGCGACGTGCTGAACTCTGTCTAAGCTCGTGCAGCTATCATTGGCCTGATGGAGCTACAATTACTGATGCGCTCAGAACCTAGACTACCGGTTGGAGTGCAAAGCAAACGCCTCGGTCTCAGATTTTCGAGAGGTTCAAAACATGAAGCTCGGCCTGATGGACGTGACAGAAAGTACGCAAAGAGCGTTCGATTTACAAACCCTGAGCATCCCGCCACTTCTTTCATCAAATAATGAAGGGTCTCCGATGCACACCACCCCTCCGAGGCTCGATACTGCTGCGTCCGTAGTAGGGCAGACATCATGAAGACCACTAACAGACCCGATGAATGGAAGATTGAGCAGGGACTGGCTGGGGCGGAGCTTCCCGTCCTTGACATGACGGGACCGCAAACCAAGGCTCTCCCCCCTCAGATTTTTGGTGACCTAACGAAAGATGATGCCGCCATAAAGAAAGTCGGCGACCCGAACAAGTTGTTCACCGAGGAGCGGCAAGGTTGGACCGGGTGAGTCCCTTCAAGCGACTTCAGCACAACCTGCCTTCGATTACAAACACTATGACTGCATGTCTACAGCAGCTGACAATTCCGGATTCAAAACAGCTTCGTCGAGTGGGAAAGTTATCCGGAGAAGAAGGCCGCGGCCCATAGGATCTTGACCTCCCAGACATTTCCCCCAAATCCAGAGTTCCAGCTTGGGCCTATTCCAGCTAGCAATCCTGTCCTTTCTGGTACTCATTGGAAGATGTGGCACAAGGCGGTTGGAGGCGCTTTGTCTCGCATCCCCGACGACTCGTGGGATATTGTGCTCAAGGAGAAGCACGCCGACATGCTGCATCTTCTCCAATTTCCTTACAACGGCGAGCCTCCCAAGCGCCTCGTGACCGACAAAGAAATTACCCCGAATCCCCTCCACTTCGTCCGAAACCACGGCGGGATTCCGATCATTGACAAAGAGCACTACAGCTTTCTGTTGGATGGACTTGTAGCGAACCCGAGATCGTTCACTTTGGATGACCTCATGGACGAAACCAAGTTTCCGCGGATGGAGAAGACAGTGACGATGCAATGCTCGGGAACCCGACGTATCGAGCAGATTCTCAAGTACCCCGGCCAGGGTGATGAGGTGCCTCAAGCACCCTGGGCTGAAGGTGCGATCGGAACTGCCAAGTACGTTGGCATCAGCCTCAAAAAAGTCATCAAAGCCTGCGGTGGACTCATCGAAGGGGCAAAACATCTCGAATTCTACGGCGCGGACACCTACTTCAAAGATGACAAAACCATGAACTATCTCGTCAGCGTTCCATGGTCAAAAGTGAGGGCAAACGAGGTCATGCTGGCCTGGGAGATGAATGGCGATGTTCTTCCTCGCATTCATGGATATCCCCTTCGCATCGTTGTATTCGGTTACATTGGAGCACGAAGCGTCAAGTGGCTTTACCGCATTAAGGCTATCAAGAACCCTACACGTGCGCCTGTTCAGAGCCAGGAGTACCTCTACTTTCCTCAACAAGTCGGCAAGCATAATCTCAAGATGACGGACGGCATCCAGATTCAGGAAATGCCAGTTAGTTCTGCCATCATGTCGCCTTGGACCAAACAGGTCGTCATACATAACGGCAAAATCCGCTGCAAGGGATGGGCCTACTCAGGTGGTGGTCGCTGGCCAGAGCGGGTTGAGCTCTCAGCTGACGGGGGGTTCAATTGGTATACTGTGCCGGTCGAGAATCTCTCCAAGAAGCGAAAATGGACCTGGCGAACCTGGGAGATCGATCTTCCTTGCGACGTGGAAGGCTGGATTGAGATCGTCTGTCGCTGCTGGGACAATTCGCTCAATACTCAACCGCCCGATGTACGCACAGCTTGGAATTGGGGCTTACATGTGACCAGTTCTTGTCACAGAATATCGGTTTACAGTGTAAACAACACCCGACCAAATACTCAGGCACGCCTCCGGGAATTTGCAGACAAGGGTATTCCGTTCGCTCCAATCACAGTACCCCTGGCTTTCCCGTCTCAATCTTGGGACGAGTATGAGGAATTTTGGAAAAAGCACGATCCACGGGATGCTGAGGATTAGTTGACTGCCTTTGTATTTTGCTTGATATGACGTTGCAATGGCGTTACTGTATGTATGCGGGATCGCAAGAGGGAATCGTCAGAAAACTTCAGGATACAACCCAAATTGAATCAATGAAGACGACTGTGAAGAAAACTGGACACAGGAACTGTTGGGGTGAACATCGCGCCTTGCCAGCCATATCGATGTACCCCGTCTGTTACGGATCGATACCGCTGCAGCACCCATTCTGTGGTTCGCTCTGGGCATTGGGTACCGCTAGCACGTAAACAAAGCGACCGGAGTTTCGAACGCATGTGGTGTGGTTCGTTTACACCGCCATAGACGCAATTGATGTTTACTGTGCCGCGAGCTAGCTGCCACTTCTGGAACTGCCCCCCGAGTACCAGGGTTTTGTCGCAGATAGCTGGTTGGATCCGACTGGATCCGACTGGACAAGCCAACATGCATATCTGCGCAGTTGTCTCCAGATGTCCAGCCAAGAAGAGGGGTAAATCGACGTGGGACCCGTCTCCGAAATATTTCCCATCGGTTTCGCGTTGTGAAATCTTCCCATACCCGACATTGCACAGACATAGTTCATAGCAGACGAATCTGGTGCTCAGCGACTGTTACATTCACTCCGCTCAAGTCTGGTTGGGCTCATCCGCATAGAACATTTCATATCATTTGTGCTCAACAGTGGAGGACACGATGTGCAACGACGACAACAATAGCCCCACTCCCCAGCCCCCACCAGCTGGCGCCATCGCGGCTGATGAGGTGAGATGTCTCAAGAATCCGTCGAGGGATGACAATTACTGAAAGTGCATGCACACTGTAGTTCACCGACGATAATTCCTCATTGAATGGTGTAAGTATCTCGGAAGATACACCAGGAGACGCCCGCAGAAGCCAGCTGACTAGGTGACTTTAGGGTAACATCGCGTCGTCCACCTCGACTGTAGCGGCCTCGATTCTTGAATCTAGACTAGAGAACGGGAGAACGTACCATAAGTACAAAGAAGGGAGTATGATTAAACGAAATCATTTGAGATTATACAAGACTAATCGTTGCAGAGTACTGGGCACCTAACGATGAGAGAGAGAAGGACAGACTCGGTAGGTTGCTAATTCTCCCAACCCTACCTTGGTTGATCGCATTTTCCCTGACTGACGGGCTGGGCTAGACCTTGTGCATAATCTCTACCTTTTGACTTTTGACTACTATCTCGGAACTGCGCCGCCAACCCGAGAGGACTCGAAAGTCGGTCGCGTGCTCGACGTCGGCACAGGCACCGGCCTCTGGGCAATCGAATTCGGAGAGGACCACCCCGAGGCTGAGGTTCGTAAAGCTTGCTATGCTTTGATCCCGGAGTACAGAGTGTTGATGGCGTGTGTTCTTCTCTAGGTCACAGGTGTGGACTTGTCGGCTTCCCAGCCAAACTTGTATAACACATGCCTTCCAAGACGAGCTTCTCTTGCAGAATCGCTGATGACATCATTAGCGTACCTCCGAATGTTCGGTTCGAGATCGATGATATCGAGGAATCATGGACTTTCAGTGAGCCCTTTGACTACATTCACAGCAGAATGATGAAGGGCAGCATTCGCGACTGGAAGAAGTTCCTCCAAAGCAGTTTTGAGTTAGTCACCTCAAGCATGTCCATCGGGAGGTGTCTAGCTACTAATGACTGAGCGTTCATGCAGTAACCTCAACCCTGGTGGATATCTCGAACTGAACGATATCGATTTCTTCCCCTTGTCTGATGACAACACGATTCCCAAGGACAGTAAGCTCATGAAGGCCTTTGGGTATTGCTTTGAGGCTCTCGAAAAGATGGGATCGCCTTTTGAAGAGTTTAGCCGCTTCGAGACCCTGCTCGCCGAGGTTGGATTCGAAGACATCCAGGTGCAGCGTTTCAAGTGGCCCACAAACACGTGGCCCAAGGATAAAAAGCACAAGGACCTGGGCGAGTGGAACCTCGAGAACCTTTCGCCCAACTTGGACGGTCTTCTCATGGCGCCGCTGACGCGAGCTCTGGACATGAGCCAGGCAGAGGTCCACGTTATTGCGATGGAGGCTCGTAAGGAGCTTGCGGATAGACAGATCCACGCTTACTTCAATGTGTATGACTCTCCTGATCCCCTAATAATCTATTTCGAAGGTACGCTTTCTGACCTTTTCTCTCTCCAGGTGGTCGATTCATGGACGCAAACCAGCGGCGGCAGCGGCGAACTGAGAATGGCCAAGCCGTCACCGATCCGGTGATATAAAACTCATAGTGTTCTTCAATATGTGAGGAGGTTTAGTTTGTTAGTGACTTGATTTAGGCTGGCTTACCTGGAAACAAGTATAACTTGATGGACCAAATGAGACGCGAAGATGGCTGCATTTCCCCCTCATTTTAGAAGCTGAGAAAAGATGACTTTCGTATCAGATATACACTGATGTCAATAAGTGATTCCAACCTCTGTCCCAAGCAGCGCAGTCGACGAGGTCATCTCTCCTCAACGCTAATGGTGGCAACATTCTGATGAGTTCAGGCACTTTCCTCACATGGTGTTGATTTCACCCGACTGCTGGACAAGCTTACTTTCAAGTGGAGCAGAGCGGCTCAACCTGGGGCGGACGTGAGATCATCTCGTATTCAGTGGGGGCTTATACGTCGATATGAAGAAACACTATACATAGAACCTAAAAGGGCCCCTCGCTCACGCGGGCTGCTCCGAGATGAACGCCGATCTTCGAGACTAAAATTGACGCATTCCCACATCATAAACATGCGATTTACGTCAGACTTCTTGCCCGGTCGAGTAACCTGCTGCCGCTGCTGTTGAACTGCTCAGACATCCGCGAGATGAGAGCCGCGAACATCCTATTGTTGCAGTGGGCAACTCTGCTTACTGGCACAGCACTCGCCTCCAGCTCATCTATCAATAGAAGAGCCGACATCTCATCCTGCAAATTGCCAGCGACAAACGGCGTCTTCTTCAGCTCTGGTTTTGGCTACAAGTACGATTGCGCTCCCAGCAAGGGCACCGTCAATGCGATTCTCATCTTCATCGATTTTCCGGATCAGACCGCTTCAGAAGCTTCTCCGCAAGAAGTCTACGACCTCCTGATACCTCAAGCCCAGCAATGGTTCAACACGTTATCGTACGGGCAGCTGTCGCTCAACATCACCGCAGACACGAGCCGATTTTACCGCATGCCCAAGAACGCAGCCGAATACAACTTCGTCAGACCTTTATCGCAGCAAGCTCACTATGCTTATGTCCAAGACGCGCTAGAGCAGTGGCTAGATGTCACCAACACGCCGGTCCCCAGGGTCAATAGCACCGAGGGCCCTCTGACTGATATCTTCTACGTGATCCCCACAAGAAACGCGACGAATATTGAGCTTTCTGCAGCTCTCACCGGTGGCGCATATACCAAGAATGTGAACTACATTGCGAGAAAGGCTGTCACCATGGGCATTGACACATTCGATTGGTGGGGTTACAAGGCGGTGAATCACGAGACGGGCCACACCTTCTGCTTGCCGGATCTATACCCCATACCGACGGGTTATACGGGTATGTACGCCGGCAACTGGGATATGATGGCCAACGTGGGGGCTTCTAGCCCGGATTACTTCGCATGGGACAAGTGGAGGTTAGGCTGGCTTACGGACGATCAAGTCGAGTGCGTCGTTACGTCGGCGGCTCCGCTCAACGGCAGCAACATGACTTCATCAACGACGCATAAACTCACGCCACTGGAGACTATGGGCGGCATGAAAGCCGTGGTCGTGAAGCACAATGCGACGATGGCGCTGGTGGCCGAGGTGAGGTCGAGGGAGGGCAACAACCTCAACTCATGTACGACTGGCGTCTTGCTCTATACTGTAGCGACGGATCTTGGTACTGGCGAGGGTCCGATCCGAGTCCTTGATGGGAATACCGGCTGGGGAACGACTTCTTGCATCAACGATGAACTTGACAACGCGCCGTTGAGCTTGAATGGCGGGGGCGCGAGCGCATACACCTCGACAGATCTGGGTGTGACGGTGACGGTGGTGGAGCAAGACGGCGATGATTACACAATCCGAATCGATGTATCATGAGAGATAATGATTGATAAGTCGAATGGACGCGTAGGATGCATGGGAATGTCGAGACTGAGAGCGCTGAAAAGTCGTGGTACGTTGAGGTCTCCACTGCCAAGTGCTGTCAAACGTCAGAGGTCCAAATATGTAGGCCGAGAGAAGGCAGCAAAAACGCTGCAGGCGTGACAGGTTTCCACCAGGGCATGTTTCGGCGATTCAGTGCATGTCATGGGAGCATCAACGGCAGTTCATCACACAATCTTGATAAGTAACGTTTCGTATGTTGCATGCTGAGAGCATCTCAAACTTCAGGTGTATAGAATGGGATGAAGTTCATCGTTCGTGGAGGAAACAAAGTTGGGATTCTCCTGGAGAGACTGCCGATAAAGAGTTCGGCCACTGCGTTCGGACTGAAGAAAGAGCCAGAAACAGGTGGTTGTATGCCATTGCATGATATCAACTGATAAAGTTCATGATAAGTCGCCTTCGATATTGTTTGATCGTCAACGAATCTGAAGGAACAACAAGTTAACGTAACTGAAGTAAAAGGAACTGACAAAAACATCAAAACATCAAGCAAATTAGAGTCTACTTTATCTAGGAACAGCTTGCCTACATTGAATCAGGCATTCAGTTGAATAGTGGGCTCAGATCAGTCAGGCCCAACCACTAGATTTCGGGGACGTGGTTGAACGCAACTTTTACTCAGGACCAGCCTTCTCGTCAGACTGGAGATATTTTGTGAATCGTAATTCGAAGTCCGAAGAGAAAAGGGGGGAAAAAACAACACCTAGCTGTTTTTGCACTGAAAATGGAACGGGTCAATTTTCGTTGTTGATAACGAGAGTAATTTGGTAATGAAATCGTCCAGTCGTCCAATAGCTAGGCAACTTTGGAGAACCCATCCACCGTGGACGAGGGTCGAGTCATCCCACCTCAAAATCGATCCAAGGACTTCATGGCGCCATAGGCCGAACTCCGAAGGGCGAGGTAGATCATACCACCTTACACAGGAGGGAGTGATGCGAGATGATTGCTTGCCAATACGTAAATCATCCCCGCTTTGATGGACGCTCTATGCGATGATTTCCTGCCAGCCAGACATGTGCACGAGGGTGGCTAGGGCCACATGGTGATGGTGTCTGAGGTTTCGCCCCTTGGCACTGATGCGTCTGAAGTCTCTGATCGCCTGAAACAGAAGATCTTAAGGCAGGCAACGAGTACAAGCCTCCACTTACGGCGCCGCAGAAGCGTTGACAGACGTTGGTCCCGCGACGGGTTAGACGGAGTTCTGGCCAGATAGTGGGATGGTGTCATGCTCGCATTCCCGCAGAAGACGACGAAGGGAACTGGGCCGCAGTGGTCTGGGGGTTCAATTGCATTCGTAAGGTTGTCAAAACTCCTTTTGAGTTCCATTTGACAACTGGATCTGACATGATGTTTCCTGCAGGCCATGAGGGGCATGCCCGCTTGATTACCACAATAAGGTTACTGGCGGCAACTTTCCCCATTTTCAGAGGATGCAGAGATAGATGGCAATATCGTCTGGACCCGGATCATAGCTAGCCAGGAACTGCGGCCAGAATCTCCGCTGAGAAAGATCGGTTGAATCCCATCTGCTGCTCGGGGCGACATGCCGAATAGGGTGACCTTGTCCCCAGAGTGCATCTTCAGGGAGAAGAGGCACATCTGGAGTACATTTCGCCTACAGAATTGCGCAGTAATCAAGCTTTCCAGACATCTGTAGCGCGGGTAGGCCCTGCGCTAAGCCCTAAGAGAATGTGAAAGTGACTCCTTACAAACCAGTTACCCGCCCGGTGAACTTGCGATCCGGAGGCCACCGAGGTTTGCTATTGGCTTCGGAATGAGTTAAGCATTCGGTCGTGGGGAACTCGGCTTTGATAAGCGGCGGTGGTCCTCTTGAGACGCACGGGTGAAGACCCTCCCCCTTCTTCTCTCCCCTCCCACCCATGCCACCATCGCAAAACGTTCCCACCCTTACCCCAGGCGAAACTCGCTCTATGACAACCTGCGGCTGAATCTGTCTGATCTTCCGCCTCATCTTTCCGTCCACATCGTTGTCGAGGCGTCTGAAGTCTGAGGCGCCTTACCGAATGCGCCGACCACCCGTCGCAAGACTTCCAAAAACTCAGCCGATATCGCGACCCATGTTGCAATAATGAACGCAAATGCAGCCACACCATAGTCGTTCGCTAGCTGGTCGCGCCCAATTCAGACCATGACGGCCGTGCGCCCCCACCGGACTTGCTTCATGAATGGTTGACTTGGCGATGACATGGTCACCCGTCGCGTCTGTTCTTTGAACCCCCTGCACATGCCATACCATGATTTCGGGTCCGATAGATTCCTGTACCTGACAATCTTCTAAGTCGCCGTCTTAACCGATTCGGCTCGTCTCATGTTGTCTCGACTCTCGTCCCCCTCGGCCTCCATACCCCGGGGAGAGCGTCGTCTGTCTTAACTTTTGAAGTCTCATCGCAACGGTGTGCTAGCCAAAGCTGGCCGAGCATGAGGCTCTTGCTCTGGACCGTCTGAATTCCACTGATTCACCAAGGATCTGCTCTGATCATGTTTTCCATCCAATCTCTTCTTTATAAACCTGGCTGATCTCCCTCTCGGCACCAAATTTCTTCTTCTTGGCTATAGCTTCTCATCTTCATACGACATTCTCTTTGCACCGTTTCGTTTCATTCTTTTCAATTTTGAGTTCTGTGAGCTCTTCCATTCTTTGTATCGCCAGCAGATCTGACCTCGTTTTACTCTACTATCTTACAATCAACTCTTCGCTTCAAACCACGTCAGTCGACAGCACGCAGAAGGCCGGTCTTTTCTGTCTTAATCACTCTCGACCGTCGATAATCCAAATCTCGATCAAGATGAAGTACCAGACTATCGCTTTCGCCACTTCGACCCTCGTCGGTCTCGTGGCGGCCAGTCCCTACCACCGTCACCACCATGTGAGACGTGTCAGCAAGCGTGAGGTTCCCCAGGAGCACTCTCACGAGATCTTCCTCAACATTACCCGCGAGTTCCTGAACAAGGAGAACCCCAAAGCCATTGCCGACCCCGTCTTTGGCCTCCTCGGAGACGCAGCCGCCAAGACTGGCGCCGGACAGGTCACCAACTTGGCTTGCCTGCAGCAGGAGACTGCCGACCAGGCTTTCACCAACGCTAAGGCCGCCAAGGATATCCGCGGCATGTCTGCTGCTCTCGTCTACCAGACTCTTGAGCGCAACACCGCGGGCGTTGGTGTGAACAGCGCAGCTTGCACCGACAAGCCTGTCAACGCTGAGATCGCCGCCCTCTCCAAGAAGCACCAGGACCCCGCAGCCGATGGCGCTGCAGCCAACAACAAGGAGGTTGCTCTCGCGCTAGCCAAGCAGTTGGCCGCAGTCGGCGGTGATCCCATGCTGGCTCTCGAGAGCGGCACCTTCGCTCCTGGTGACAAGTCCGACACTACCTTCAAGGGTCTCAGCTGCGACACTGACACCGACCCTACCGGATGCATCTTCACTGAGAAGAAGCTTGTCCTTGATGCGACTCCCGACGAGATCACCGCCGCTGCTAAGGGTGTCACTCAGACCGTCACCGGCGGCACTGGTGAGCTGAAGGCAACTCACATCGACATCACTGGCCTCGCCGTTGCCGGCCAGGCCGGAGCTGCTAAGGGAGGACAGACTTCAAGCACTCCTGCCAAGGCTAAGAATAGTGCCACGCCTTCCAGCGGCAACACATACTCCAACTCTAACACCAACACCAACACCAACGCCAACACCAACGCCAACGCCAACGCCAACGACGCTTCTTGCGATGCGTCCAGCTCTAACAACGGCGCAGCCCAGACCAAGGCCAACAACGGCACTGCTGGCGGAAACAACGGAAACAACTCGAACAACAACGGCAACGCTAACAGCGGCAATGCCAACACTGGCAACGGCAACAACGTTCAGACCTTCACCGGCTCTCTCGGTGGCGCCCCTCCCCCGGTCATCCAGAGCTCCGGCAACCGCCCCTTCTCCGTCAACGGTGACACCTTCGTCGGAAAGGGCGCCGCCCTCGGCCGATCCTGCGACGTTCAGCACAACGCCTGCGCCCGCGCCGTCAACAGCGGCCAGCTCGACGGCGAGGTCTCCCAGTGCGACGAGCAGAACACTCAGTGCCGCGCCCAAGCCAACCTCCGCAAGCGCTTCTTCAAGCGCCAGGCCACCGACTTCGGTTCCTGCAGCGACCCTTCCGTCGTCTTCAAGGACGGCTTGCCCGATCGCCAGGCCGCGGCTTTCATCGCAAACAACCAGGGCGACTTCAACCACGGCTCTGCACAGAAGATTGGTATCATTGCTGGCTTCATCTGCCAGCGCCTTTCTGACAGCTGCAAGGCGCCTGCTGCTACCGTCGAGAGCTGCAACAAGGCTCAAACTGCGGCTGTTGCTGCTACTCAGGATGAGACTGCTGCGAATGTGTTCAACAGCATGCTTATTGGCGGCTCGGCTAGTGGCAACGTCACCGCTCGTGGTGAGCTCAGACTTCACTGATTGGAGTACTTCAGAAGTGCATTCGAATCGTTACTCGATGATGGGTACATGGAAGGTGTTTAGGCTTGCATTGATTTACGCTTCCGGTGGCAGTTTGGTGGCAACATTGAGATATCCTCCGCACGGGTCAATGTCAGGAGTAGCTTTAGGTGTTTCTTGGAGTCTTGGTGACTTTTCAAATTGAGTCAAAATTTCATGCCTCACATCCTTATTTTAAACATCGAGTGACCTATTCAGCAGTATATTGCTCATGCTAACCAAACCCTTGGTAGTTCATTGGTCGCATGCGGTGGTTTTCACGACAGGGCAGTAAGGTTTGAGGTTTCTAGGCCCGTTTCGAATTGCTTAACTCATAGGAGCTGGCCATTGGCAAGGATGCAATAAGTTCAAGTATTATTGATAAGTAACCTAGAAGTCTTCTCTCAAGACACCGACTCAAGGCGAGTCGTACTTGAGGTACGCGCCGCTGCCAGTGTCATGCGTCAGGTTCGTCTGCACAACACGACCGTTCTTCAAGCTACCACTCTCAGCAACACCTCCAACAGCCGCGGTACCGTTCAAACGATGCAGCTTGTTCTCGCCAGCCAGCACTGTAAAGTTGGCGAGGGAAATCTCGTATCCCTGCTTGATCCTGGTCGTAGGAATACCAAAGAATGAAGCATTCACAGCATCGTAGTCAATGCTGAGCTCATAGTATCCCCTGTAGAACAGGTCTTGCCACTGCAACTCACGATTCGCAGCAGTAAGCCATGCTGATCCCGCATTCGCCGCCGCCAGCGAAATGTTCTGCCCAGCAGGGCACGGCGAGCTCACAGCCGAACCCGCAAATTCGACGCCGACGGAACCGGAGCCCGTGTTCGGATCGTACTCGTGCTCACCAAGCCAGACAAGATCCGATACCCACGAAGCGTGCGAGTCGCCCGCGAGGAAGATGTTGTTGCCGACGTTCTGCTCGTACAGGACCTGGAAGGTGCGATTGCGGTTCGCTTGATAACCGTCCCACTGGTCGTAGTTCATCGGGTTCTCGGCGCCGAGGGCCAGGCTCTCGTTCATGCGGCTGAAGATGATTTGGTTGCCAATGACACGCCAGGTCGCACCGCGGGTCGAGCTTTGGCGAAGGGTTTTGTAGAACCAGGCTTCTTGGCGGGGTCCCATGAGGGAGCGGCTTGCGTCGTTGGAAATGGCGTGGATGTAGTCGGTGTTGGTGTAGACATCCGTGATCTAGGGGGTTAGCAAGACTCTGAAATTCCTATAGGAGAGGAGTGAAACTTACAGCGCGATCGTACTGGCGAGTATCCAGCATCACGAGGTCGAACAAGTTGCCGAAGTTGAACTCTCTCCAGATGCGGAGGTTATCATCCATATCGACCTGGCGAATAGGCACTAGCAGGGCGTTAGTATCGATATCATCATCAAAACTGGGTTGAGAGTGTAAGCATACTCCACTCAAAGTATGCGCGAACAGCATTCATCTTGCGCTGATCAACCGAGACACCGCCATCAGCAATGAAAGAATCCTCAGTGTTGTTAAGCTCTGAGGCACCATCTCGCCACGTGTTGTCCGAAACCTCTGTTTCCCATTAGTCAATGTGGCGCATAACGAAAGACTGCTACCAACCGTGGTCGTCCCAAACCGGGATCCAGGGAAAGCTCTGGTGGCTGGCCACCAAGTCCAGGTCGGTTCTGTAGGTTGCAATGCGCTTGCGGTAGTCATACAAACTGCCAAAAGTCAGCTTGACATGTTCTCTAGAGAAGTAACACAAGCTACTGACGTGAAGATCTGGCGATCGGGAAGAGGAATTCTTCCGATCGAGTTGCCCCAGCCATACTCGCCATTGCCGTACTCGTAGATGTAGTCTCCAAGATGGATCACGTAGTCAACCGAGTCTTTTCGGACTGGGTTGCCGTAAGCGTTGAAGAAACCGAAAGCTTCACCAAGTCAGTCGAAAAGTTCTAAGGACTCTGGAATGGATAGTTCACGAAGACGTACGGTAGTTGCTGCAAGAGTAGACGGCAAGCTTGATCGGTGTTTCAACTCGGGAGTTCTTTGAAGGAATCGTCTTTGTCCGGCCAATCAGGGACGTCTTGTTTGAGTTGCAAATACCAAACTGATAGTCTTCAATGCAAGTCAATTACCCTCCCTGGACGAATTGAACTGTGGTCACTCACAATAGACCGTGAAAGGCGCCAATCGCTTGGCCTCAACCTTTACAGTATAATCCACATCAGAGCTCGTGTAAGCAGTACCCGAGTCAACAACAGCTTCAAAAGTCTTGCTTGTGCCGATTTTCCAATCAACGCAGACCGGAGAGTCACTCTTCTTCACATAGTCTTCCGTGCTGTGGTCATACAGGGGAACGTAGCCGCTGACAGTCAAGTTGCTCTTGTCATTGTCAGCTGTCGGAGCAGCTCGCGTCCACAGGATGACGCTGTCCTCGTACGGATCACCGGAAGCCACGCCATGCGTGAAGTTCAGCTTGGCTGGATCCCAGTGGGAGTTGGCGTAGGTGCGCTTAGCGACCTTATTGATGGAGACACCAAGTGACGCATGGTGCTTCGACGGCGACAGGTAGTTGAGGTTACCTGTGAAAGCAGCCGATGCCCCAGTGGCTAGAGCCAAGACAGCAAAGATTGGCTGAACCATGATGACGGTGGCTATCACGCTCTGGAGGATTGAGACGCGAACGAAGTGACCACAAAGAGTTGACTTATTGGTTGCCAAGAAGGGATCAGCATTAAGCTTTGACGGCGAGAGCTGCCATTTATGAACTTTGGTTTACAAAAATTTCCAGGCGCGAGAATACTAGGATGAGCTTCCGCAGCTTCCATCTCAGGCCGTTTGTTTCTCGCTCTGGATGGACGCTCGCCACGTGCGTTATTCAGACGGCTATGCTCGTGGGTAATCATCTCAACAGTGATTGGACATTGAATCCCTTCACCGGATTTCAAGAATCGTTAGTCTTCTCTCAATGACGACAATCACCAGGGATTATCGCAGAGTAGCATTCGCGAACCCCTCTTCTTATCAATCGTGCATGTGCTGAGATGGGCATAGGTTTACCAGGCTTGCAAGGCACGGAAATAAGTCCTCTTTATGAATGGCATATCTTGAACCGCGGTTCACACGTGCGCCCGGCTCTGGAGGTCATTGGTGGTCTTGGCGCTGTGGGGCCGTCGCTCCGGTTCTTCGGCTCTACATAGCTGGGATCCCGCCTTTGTCAACTCGTGCATAGCAGGGTCGCGTCATCAATGATATATTGCTGAACAGAGATATCCTGTCTTCTCCATGGAAAAACATTGCTGTTTCGGAACATCGCTTTAGCATGACGTACATCCAACAATCTGCTGGCACATATTGTTTGTTTTCTAAGATAAATGTATCTAGCTCTGCATAGGTACAATACAAGTCCCTTCCCACACTTAATGGAGGCCGAAGTGACATTTACACCCAACAAGTAATGGCACTCAGCTTCGTATACTACACTCTTATGGTGCAATAACAAACATCGTCTAGCGCACATTGTTTCCTCCCATATTCACGCGTCAATCTTTTTGGGAGGAAATAGGTACATGTACCTGACATGAAAGACGTAACCCTTCGGGATGCAATGCTCGCGCTGATAAGTGTTCGATGAGAAATGAGACTCTCAAAGGACGTTGTTTTGGTAAGACTTGTACACAGTGAGGTGCCCAGCTTATGAAGTATGTTGGGCAATCACTTCGCTATGTAGACCAAGTAGATCGCTACCAATTATATGTCTTGCTTGAATGCGAACAATCATGAATAAACAAATTATTGATTCGTGCACACAAAATCACCTCGTGCGATCTGGCCGATTGGACAGCTCTGCCCAGGTCCGGACTCATCAATTATCCACGACCATGCGTGAGCTCTGATATGGCTGGTCTCATCCCGAGCAGCCCTGCTTTCCGTGCGGAACAAGCAGAGGGTAAGACTAAGTAAGAGTGAGCATTCTCCATTTCATGCGTGTGAATCCATACGTGACAACAGACTCCCAGAAGGTTACATACATATAAAATGAGGAAACATGGCTCGCAAAAAACGTCTTACTGAAGTACCAGGCTTTGAAAACAGAGTCTATGCCCATGAACAATCGAGCTAGCCGTAATGCACTGTAGCAGACCTGGAAGATGTAGTTCTGAAAAAGAATATTGAACTTGCAGTGGTATTGTTTCCAAGGTTTCAGGAACACTAACTAGTCCCTTGTCAAGAAGATTAAAGTGAAAATTTGTCCGTGCAGAAGCTACAACAGGGGTTTGATTCGAACACACCATCCGCGAAAAGCTTATACCTAGTAACGAATAAGGGGTCTTCGAAAGTTCAAGACGGCTCAAAGTCTTGAATTGGGCTATCATGATTCAACAATTCCATGCCCTCATGGAATTCTTCGTAGAACAAAACGACTACCTCAGTCGATTAGACTTCGGATGGAAATACATAGGAAAGACCACTAATGGAAGGAAGACGACGGGAGGTATTGTAAATGCGATAGCAAGGCTCCTATTAGCAGGTAACATAAAGGGCAATACCACAGGAGCTAATGAAGTTACAGACATATAGATGATGAGGCGTAGAAAGGTTTTCGATTGGTACAGATGACCAATGACTGGGTCATGAAGCTGCCCGGCAGCCTTTTCTGAGGCTGATAGGAGCCCACGATCGTTCTGAAGTACGTCTGATAGTTTTGCTGCTGCTGTCATTGCTGCTTGACGCGGATGAATCGTAGAGCTTCCGACGGAGACTATCGCTGAAGATGGAGGAATTTGGGGTACTCTTTGTTCTTTAATACTAAAGTCAGTACATACTTTAGTCTGTGACAAAACTCTGGCCTTGTTCTCAGTACGACAGGTCTCACGCTTACCGAAGTACAACTGGAGAGCCACGAAAACAGGTTGAGAAAGAAGAAGAACAGGGAGCAGTTGACCAAAGCCCATTTCTCGCTCAGCTGACCGTATTTCCTTCCCAACTTGACTCTTACTGGAGAAAAGCTGGTAGGTAAGTCAACATACCCACTTCCTGGCACCCCCCTGTTTCTGGCACCACAAAAACGATGGGATCACAACCCAACCTCCTCATTACTATTAACTATTGATCCTCAACCACACCCACTACAATACAGCTGCCAGCCTCACTAGGGCATTCAGAGTCGCTGGATTCAGCCGTGATAACCTCCTTTTCACCCGCTTCGATTTGAGCCCGATGGATATCCCTGATGTTCGCGAACTTCGTATTGGGATCG